ATTAATTTGCCTAAAAATTCACTATTTATGAATCAAAAATCAAATAAGATATTTACTCGGCATCGAAAAAGCATCCTAAGCACACCGAATATTCTATCAACCTCGTTTACAATTATTCCATGCCCACGAAATATTTTTCTCACACCTTTAATATATTTTAATTTATTTAGTAGCGGTTTGGGGTATTACGACCATAGACACAACTTCTTTAATAGCTTTTGATGGAAGATAAGCCATCCATATTGGACACCTCTATCATCTTGGCTTGAGTGGTTTCCTCACTAATGAGGACTACGGTATGAGCTTCTTGCATCTATGGCATTTACAAACCTATTGCATACGCAAATGGCTTAGTAGGATAACCGGTCTCAACATGGAATGATGTTGCTCCCAAATTAATGGGTGTTGTAGTAGATGGCTCGGGCTACAAGTTGAGCATCGGGAGGGCATGTGATATATTACCACGACCTTGCCTTTGGATCGAAGCATTTCTCCCAATTGGTGATGCTAACATGGCCTTTTTCTAGTAGATTGGTAAGATGAGCAATTTTCCATTTAATTTTGTCAAGTTTCTATTGGTGGCTCTGTTGCCACTATGCTCTTCTTCATTCTTCATTTGGCGATGTTTGAACCAAGTTTAAAGTATTCGAGGAGGGAGTTGAGTTTTGGCGGGGTGACTTATATTTCATATACTTGTAAAACAAACTCAAGATAGATATATACGGTGAATGTACGAGTGGATATATATACATAGAAGATGTGAAATAGGTTTGATATGTTGCTTTACTAGACTTTAAATCGTAATAGAGTTTGTACTCGAAAATGGGCCGGATCACATTTTAGTACTCATTGAAGGTATAACTCTACGGATACCTTGGGTGATTCGAGAAACATATCTATCTTAAATCATATTTATCTTTGACATTATTTTTTTAGACCACGAGTGATGAGCACATCTTATGATAACATACATAAAAAAAAATTTGATGTTGGACTCCTAGTACATTCTAAATATGACTTAAAGCTATTTTTCATCAAATGAAAAAAATAATATAGCTCTATACATTACAATGATCATTTGTTACAATGCTCATAGTATTACATACGGATTCTTATTCTACTCTTCACAATTCCGGACTCGGACATAAAGTAGGAGTAGCTATAAAGGTTCTAAGTCTTGTATGAGCTCCTCTTCGGTTGTGTACTCATTATTTTTTGGCCCATTTTATTTTTTTATTTTTTTGGTTTCAACATAAAATTTGATGGTAGATAGTCTCCCTCCTCAAGCCGAGCCTCGCTCCGATCTAATCCTAAAATCATTAATGTCATTATCTATCATGATTTTTTTTTATGATAACTCTGTAAAAAATAAGGGTTAAAACTGACATCATTTAAAGATATTATGTGCCTTAACGAGTCAATCCTAATGGATATGATCTAGCTTTTCTAGGATTTAGAGAAAACTTGTCTAATCCCGAAGTCTTGTCAAGTTTCGAACTACTTACATTACTATTATGGTAATTCAGCCTCTAACCTTATACGGTAGAAGGTATGCAAAGATCGTTTCACAATTTTCTATGTATAGAGTGAGTTTCGATCCAAACGAGAGTCCCGATAAGCATTAGTAGACGTTCATCATACTTGCCTCCGAATCTCTCTATCTAAATCCAAAAGATTTTTTTAGCTCGAGCCCAAAGCTTCGTAGGATTTTCTTGGGGTGTGTGCAACAATAAAGGAGATACATATCCAACTCAATTCACACAAAATATATACATGAATAAAAATGCAAGAAAATAAATTGCATAAAATGAACGACCTAAAATATATACAAGAAATAAAAATTAAAGTAATAAAATAAATAACTTGAAATTAATTAAATGAAAAGATAAAGGACTTGGAAAATAATTGACTTGAAAATAAATGAAAAAAATAAATAAAGGAGATAAATTCAAAGGACTAAATCTATGGCCTAACTCCGAATCCCTAGTGAAGTCATCATTCTATCGTCACCCAACTTCTTTGGGACTCTAAAAAAATTAGATTTATTTATTGAAAATCTTGTTTATTAGAGGATATGATTTACTATTAATTTTAGAGTCGTCATCTAGTATTAAAGGTAACTAGAAACCTAAAATGGATATTGGCTTAGAGATTCTAAAGTAAAGAATTGGCTATGCATTTAGGAAGATATGAATCACCTAAAGGCATCATTTCCTAATAAAGGGATCATGTCCAGTTTAGTCCTAAAATTTATCTTCTAAAAACTTTTATTTTTGCCAAAAATTAATCTTGAGTCAAAATTCCAAGTTTTATTTCCCAATCTAAATTATTTTTTTAATTTTTATTTATGGCATCATATTCAATCAATTGTCAAACCCTTCCAACGGGCGTCTCATCAATTCAATATCAAATATAGTTTAAGTTTTAACATAACTAGCATGTCAAAAAATAACCTAATTACTAAAATGGGATTGATTTGAGTGAATATCGATCTCTATTAGGTAAGAGACTTTGTTAATTTTTCATCGAGCATTTTCTCTCTTTATTATCATTTTTATTTTATTTTTCATCTAAAACTTTCTCTTTTTCATTTTTTATCATTTTCTTTTCTTTTTTTCTTTATTTTATCTTTTTTCTTTCACTTTTTTTTTTTTTTAGATTGTGAGGAGTCGTCATCGGTCCCTAAAAAATTAGGAGACTTGATGATTCATCTACATATTAATTACCTAATCTAATTATAGAAATAAAGCCTAAAAACCTAATCATTGACTAAATAAATAAATATAAAAATAAGAAATTAAAGATATTAAATCTAAATTAGGCATAAAATAAAAGATAGGTATTACAAATTTTCGGGATCGATTTACCTAGGGAAATGATTAAAAATAATGTTATTTTGTGCTAGCTTGCTGGAGAAGCCAAGCTTTCTCCTCTACTTTCGGGCTTAGGTTAGGCTACGCTCAGCCCAAACCCGATCGCTTGAGCTGGGTTGAAGCTCGGTCCATTTAACTCCTCACACGAGTCGGGGTAAGCCCGGCCTCTCACATTTCTTCTTTTTTCCCTCACAGCCTATTTCCATATCCCTTCAAACACTTTGCTTAAATTAAACCCCAAATCTAGAATCAAAACCCAAAGACTTTCATCTTCCCTAAATACAACTGCCTCATCTTCTTCCCCTCACTCTTGAACCTTTATCTTTTTCTTCTTCATCCTACATCATCTTTTAGCAACAACGGATCGATTCTCTTTTTCTCTTTCGATAAAAAACCCTAGGTCATCTATCCTTCTCTAAGTTGAAACCATGAATGAATTGTAAAACACCAATGCCCACTACGCCTCCATCTTCTTCCCCTTGAGCAATATTAAATCTTTGTTCCTCAAACCATCTCCTTCTCACCCTTATACTAACTAAAACGCTTAACAAATTTTTCCTGATTTGTTTTCTTTCTTTTCAAATCAAAAACCCTAGACTTCTTATACTTTCTTAATCGAAACCCAAAACCTAAAAAAATTAGCTCAACTAAACCTAGAATCCAACACTTTCAAGCTATCAAAACCCTCATTTCTCATGAAATCAAATACAACGAATGAGGAAAATCAAAAAAAAAAAAAGTGGGGGTTTCGGTGTTCATCACTTGCCATTGTTTATCTTGAAAATTCCAAGGCTACATTGATGCAATTGGAGCTACAAATCAAGGGGAGAATCTTACTTGGGTGTTTAATTAAGGAAGCTTAGGTTGAGGTGGGCGATCACGACGGTTATAGTAGCTTGATGAGCAAGAGGGTTTTCTCATGATAGAAACCTAGATCTATTCTTGCTTCTTTTACTTTTACTATTCCCTGCTCTACAGTCTCTCTTTCTCATCTTCTAATTCTTTGAGATCCCCACAATTCCCTACATGTTGCTCTTGTTGTTCTCACTTTTTTTTTTTTTTTTGCCTATTCTATCTCAATTCTTTCTACCATTCCTCTCAATTATTTCTCTTAATTGTTTTTCTCCTCTCAATTTTTCCACACTTCTTTCTTGCTTCAAAACCCCTAATTAGACCTCTATTTATACTTGAGAGTTTTTCTCACACCCGAGATCAATTCCAGCCTCCTTTATGACCCAACAAATTTCCTTGCCTACCGTCTATTTTGCTATGTATGAACGAGTGCCAAAACTTATGTTAATGTTGTATAGTGTGTGTTTTGTATGTGCTTTGAGTTCGGGTGTAGCATGACAAAGGGGGGTACACTATAATTCCTTAATGAGAACCGCACTACAAGGAAGAGCTAGCATTGTTTTCCCTTTTGACCTATTGTCTTCACTAATGAAGATGAACGGAGCTGAAGGGTGGTGGGATGCGGGAGTCGTCATGTCGAAGCCTTGTCGAAGAAGCTTGGATGACAAGTCATTCGAGGTTATCCGAATTGATCCTATCGTTTATATCTTAGGTTGATTTAGGTCCTTATGTGTTAAGTTTTGTTTCAATTATATCATTCGGATGTATCGTTATGGTCCTTATACTTTTGATTTTTGCAATCGGGTCCTAAGTCTTGTTATTTCAATCTTAGGATTTCTAATCATTTCAATTGTATCTCCAATTACCTCAATTTCAATTCTGTTTAATTCAATTATGGTTCTATTGCAATTATTTTTATTTGTTTTGATATCTTGTATTTTAAATCTTTTTTTTTGTATTTTTTATTCTTTTTACTCTTTTTTATAATAAATTCGAAAATAAAATGAAAATAAAATACAAATAAAAAAAGAAACAAACAAATAAAAAAGGGTAATACAAAAATAAATAAAAATAAAAAGGGATAAAATTTTGGGTTATGACAATCAGCTTTGGATTGTCCTCTTCTCTGTCCAGCCACACCGTATTTTCATCCTTTAGCTAATGACTATTGCTCTTTTTCTTTCTCAAGTTGGCCTTGGAGTGAAAGAATCTTGTATTTGTATCTCTATCCTTCATCTAATTAATTTTAGAGCCCTGGAGCCATATAGTCTCCTCTCAACACGTCCATTTCATCTTCACGAGCCTTTTGTTTGAGATAATATCATCAGTTTGCTGAACCATTTGGAGAGGTCCTATTTTCGCCCTCAGCATTCTGATTTGATAAGTAATGTTCCCAAACTTCTGGTTATTCCATGATGTCAGGTCCTTTTTGCAAGCTGAAATTTTACCCCTGTTGTCCGAAAGGTTCAAATTTTCACCAAGAGACTCCCATGTTGACTGTATAACCTCTTCACATTCTTTATTGTCCACCCATATAAATGACCTCAGAATGAAAGGGACTCTTCTCACTCCTTGGGAACGGTCACCATTACCCCAAGAGATTAGTAAAGAAGCATAGTCAGAACGGATGCGTGGCTGGTGACAAACACCGATCCAATGGAAAAGGTTTTTCTAGGATGCTGACATAAACATCTATTTAACCGTTCTTGAATAGTATCCTAGTTTTTACCCAGGAAAACTTGTAACCCTCAAAACCTAAGTCAAACCGTTCATAATCGGAGATGCAATCATGGAAGACTTGCATTAGACCTATCCATACAGATAGTTCTATCTTCATTGAGTTCTTCTATTCAAGTTCTGTCTTTTATTTCCTTTTATTTTCATTCTTCTTTTTATTAATTTAGTCATCACGCAATCATATATATATATATATATATATATATATATATATATCAATTTTTTTTCTATCCAATTTGATATTCTATAGTCATATTTCCTTTTAAGTAAACACTAAATTATAGTTATTAAATTGAATTTAATTGATTCACAAGTTGAGGTCCAAAAATAAAAAACATGCATGTATTACGAAATTCGTTATAGCAGAGCACAAGAGACATCTTCGTTTCCCTTTAGAATTATTAATCACACTAGCTATCCATAATTAATTTTTACTTTCAAAATTTAGCCCCAAAGTTTCTTTCGGCTATTTTACCCATATAATCATTTTTATTTTTATTTTAAATGCAATCTTCAAAACACAATTTATAGAAATACATTGGAAAAAGAAAATAAAATGGGAAAATAAGAGATGAAACTTGGATAAGAGGAGACTATATGGAATCATGTGTACAATGATAGGAATATCCATAACTGAAAAAAAAAAATTACAGAGGAATTTTTATACGGTTCATTGAAATTTCATACCAGATTATTTTGTTTCCAACTTCAAATTTGAAGAAAATTTAACTTGCACAGTATGTACTTTAATTAGTTATGAAATATTCACTGAGAATGTTGTGCAAATTGTAGAGCATGGTAATTGAGCTCGTTTTCATTTCATTGTACATGATCTTATGAAATTAGAATTAAAATCTACAATGGCAACTAATTAAGATTATTTCTTAATTAGAGGAAGGCATGATTTTTTTGAGTATTTTTCTTAATTGAATAGCGATAAAATACATCGTAACTCAATTTTGAACCCGCACAGTATTATTTAAGCAAAAAATTATATATTGCATAGTTTTTAAATTTTTACATGATTTTGTAAGTATTTTATTTTAAGTATTGTGAAATCCCGTGTTTGGTATTACCAAATTTCATAATAAATTTATTTTACTATATATTTTTTTTTAATTTTAGACTCTCAGCTTGTTAATAAATTAAAATTAATTAGCAACAATGTTATAGTTACTTAAAATATAAAACATGAAGGCACAAGTTTCTTAAAATGTTTTCTTTTGAATTGATAATCAAGCCAAAATGATGTTTTTAGCCTTAATTAAGCATGACGACACAAGTAAAAAAAAATGGTGTTTTACTTGGAGAGGATAAGAAGAAGGAGAAAAGTACTTCGTCTTTCATCCAATGGCCATTTAATTTTGGGGAGTTGGTGCTCCCACTAGTTACCGGAAGCACCGTAGTATTTGCTGCCTCGTTTTCGATGGCATATTAGGGTTGTTGCCTTGTTGGGCATTTAATAATGAGGTTGGAGAAAAAAGGCCAATCAAATAACGTACTCCTCCTAATCTCCATGCTACTTTTCCAGATCGGATCGGTAATTTTTGTTACGTATCAGCCCTTCCCTCCTCTTCCAATCTTCGGCAACAGAAACTCTTTAAGTAAACTTAATTTACCACTTCATCTATAGATTAGATTAATAAATATAAAATACATAAATAAAATCATGTGAAATGCTCACAAATACAAATTTGTAGTGTTTATTTTACAGAGATAAGGAGGTTTCTACACGAATTTTTTTATTATTGATATTTTTAAAGGCAAACCTAAAAAATGCACCTTACATACAGTCTCAGGTTACCATTGAACAATTCTCTTCAGTTTTAAAAATTCTCAATTAAACCCCAATGGCTGAGGGTATATTTATTTGAGGTTTGCATTTTTTATATTCAGAAATTAGAGAACCGAGCTGACAAAATTGACCATATTATATTCTCAGTAGCTCATTGATGATATTTGCTTTGCTGATAAATATTTTCTAATGGGAATACAAGAGATTGATTTCGGCAATATTGATGGACAAAGCACCATTTCAATACATCTATGATTTGTCATTAGAAATGAGGCGGATATTGGAAAAGCTTTGTAGCCTTTTCGTTTTGCAGTGACACTAACAATTGTATCCTGAGGTAAGATTTCGAATATATTAACATGAGAACTTGGGAGCAGTATTCATGGTTTCAAGTTAATCGCTGCTTTAGTTTCTGCATAATGGTAATAGCATCAGTGAAGCAAAAATGGAACAGAGCTTAAAATCCCAAGCAAAATAAGCGAGTCCTTCTTCCAAAAAAAAAATTAACATAGAGTTGGTTTACTAATCGTTTAATCAAGTGATTTAAAATTCGAATCTTTGTATATACATAAAACTCTTTAGGTATTTGTGCCCATCTTGTATGCCCAACAGAACCAACCTCAACTCCTCTTTGCTTTAGAAATTTCTTGGCCTCAACAATGTCCTATGAAGAGAAATAGAATGTTAAATTATTGATAAAAGAATGTTCTGATGGGGGCATCATTAAGTAAAATGTGAGGGCACACAATGACACACACAGACAGACAGACATTTATGAATCAGTACACAAGTCTAAACCATACCCTTGTATAAATGCTTTTCAAACCTAGAAAATTTGAATGTTGTGCAAAATTAAAGAGGAATGGCCCAGAGCAATATATTACGAGCGTCCAAATATCCCATTAAACAAGTCTTCTTCAGTACTTTCAACTTGGAATCTACTACTTGTGTGGCATCAAATTATAGCTAATCGCCATGCAAAAAGTTTTAAAAATGTCGGGTGCTGTGCTAATTAAACCCATCAAGCATTTGTGGCATCCAATAGAATTAATAACAAGGGCAGCAATAGATACACCCAAACTATCATAACCATGCAAACTTGTGAAGAGACAGTCTAAGCAAGCAAGATATTGGCCACAAGCTCAAAATATTTTCAATTACAAAAGATATTATTCCTGTTTCTCAAGATATAAACAGCTCCCCAACTCAATAGGGGGAAAGGAAATTTTAATAATAAACTACCAAATTAATAAAACAATACTAAAATACCTATTGCAATAGCAGTGCTTCTCGAGGGTAAGTTGGAAAATTCATCAACCCAACTCCATCCATTAATAAACCATAGCATCCTAGCAATATAACACAATAAATGGGAAGTTGGGAAGAATGCGCCAATAGGGAATGATAAGCATCAACAAATAAGAACAGTAAAACAAGTATGCCTATGAATAATTTTTTTAAAAAAATAATAATAATAAAAAGCATCCATATGAATAATAAACTATGAACTTGAATAAGAGACTAACCAACCAAGCATGGCTACATGGAATCACAGAGATTCGCAACAGCCCAATCCAATAGGTGGAGATGGCCACAAGCAGTGCCACAATCTTCACAATATGCTTTATTGGAAGCTATCAAGAATAAATTCTTGTTTTTGAGGCCAATTAAGAAGGAAAATCTTTGTTTTTTTTTTTTTTTTTTTTAACAAATCAAAATAGATAGTTGAACTATAAGACCTAAGTTCTTACTCCACATTAATTGTTTTTGTTTCTCATTGTTTTAAGGATGTTAATCAATCTGGCAAATAGGTCATCTTCAATCCTAATGAGCAAATTCCAAGAATTAATAGGAGCTGTATCACTTAAGATTATAGATCAAAGAAGTGCCAAAAGAACCAAGTATAGATAATTGGATACACCGTAAAGACCCATCAAACTGGTGGTTATGGTTAATCAGAAGGTCTAATATGAATTATTTCATCAATTCCATTAAAATGGAACACAAAGCCCTTGCAGAATATCCCAATCACCATTTTAGCAGACACGACTATAGCCATCATCTAAGGCTGACACAATTGTTATAACAAAAACAACAACAACAAAGCATTCATGTACATAAAAAGGAGTCTTTGGAAGACAAAGATGATATATAAAAAAAAAAAATTAGATCAGACTTTTGCCATCAAGAAGGGAGATATGATTTTGGATTATATCAAAGTCCCAACGTAAAAGTGGGAACTCATAGCCCTTGCGTAATTTTCCCAAACATCATCTAGCATAAGTTTTAACTCCACATTTGATTGTTATTGTTTCTTATTGTTTTAAGAATGTTAATCAACCTGGCAAATAGGTCATCTTCAATCCTAAGGAGCAAATTATCGAAATGAATAGGAGCATGTATCACTTAAGATTATAGGTCAAAGAACTGCCACAAGAACCAAGTTAGTACAGAAAATTGGATACACTGTAAGGACCATTAAACTGCTAGTTGTTGTTAATCAGAAGGTATAATATGAATTATTTCATTAATTCCATTAAAATGGAACACAAAGCCCTTGCAGAATATCCCAATCATCATTTTAGCAGACACAACCATTGCTAGTAAACTTTATGCTTTCTTATATTGCGTTAATGTGATCTAGTCTCCAATTATTATATAATTTATATCATTCAACAACTAGTAATCTTGTATATTCCTATATATAGAGGTATTTTTTATAGTATAGTTCATCCATTTATGATAAATTTGACATTAATCTAACCTATCAATTTAAATAGAAAAAATGCAGGTTTATTGGCATTAACAAAAGTTATGAGCCGAAGAGTGATTCAAATATCGGTTAGATTTATGATTTTCTTCTCTTCATTTGGTAAGCCCTTATTTTATAGTTCATAATGCAAATTTTTCAATTTCTTGTCTTGAAAAACTCTATTAGAAATTTATTTCTACTTTCTTTTTGGTTTTCAAATTTCTTATAATTGTTAACTTGATGTTCTTAACTAGGAAAATTTGGAACATTTTTTACATACCTTTGCCAATCATAAGCTGCTTCATGTTTTATTTGGTTATGTTTTTAAGTAAATCTCGTATCATTTTATCGACAAACAATATATATTGTGCATTGTTGATTCTCATCAACGGAATTATAAACACAATTCAATAATAGTTGTCTTTAAATATTTTACACGACTTTCGCAAGTCTTGGTTTCCTCTAATTTTGTAACTCGAACAATTTTGGAACAAAATTCAGATTAGGATTTTCTTTCTTCATCGGCATTTTAGTGCCCCAATATTTTAGAGAATATTATCAACATATGCCTATGCATAGTAGCTTTAGATGGGTAACATTCTTCAACTTGTGGTTATATGGATTAACCAATTTAGTACAATAGAACTTTTATCCGACTTTCTTTCTATTTTACTCAAGGGAATTACAGTTTCATGATTTAGTCACTATCATTTTCATGTCTCATACAACCATTACTGCTTTGGTTGCATTGTTCTTGGATTGCACACTAGCACGTGAAAGTAATGAGACAAAGAAAGACATTGGCTTGAAGTGGTGGGAGAATTTCAGTTTATACAATTCAAATGTAAGAAATGATGAATTCTATGCACTACCATGTAGGCTTAATGACTTATTCCCCACCCTTTAACTTTAACTTTTGATTCCATATTAGATGTTATGTTGTCTTTTTACTTGATGAAAAAGTACAATCAATGAAATAATAACCATTTTGATTTTGTGCTTATGCTTAATCCTTTTTATACATTCATTAAATTTCATTTTGATTTTTTTTTTTTTACGATGGGTAATTTTTTCCTTCTTATCACATAGAATGATTACATGCTTGATAGTAAAAAGAGTAATTCAAAAATAATATACCACAATCCAAAAGACTTGGTTTGCTAATCATTTAATCAAGTAGTCTTGAATTCAAATCCTTGTATATGCATAAAACTCTTTAGGTACTTGTGCCCATCTTGTATGCCCAATGAACAGTCGAAGGATTAGTTTGGGTCTTTAGACGTGGGATACATTAAGAATCCAAAATAATAATAATAATATACCACATGTAATTTAAGAAACCCTCTAAATTGATTAATCATATAATTGATATATTATTCATTATTTCATCGATATGATTATATGAAATATTATCTCATAGTGTAATTAAATTTGTAAAAAAGATAAGAAATTGATATGTATATTATTATCCAATAAACAAGTATACTAATAGCTCTTATGAAAATTTAATTTATTCCAAATCTTATAGTTTAACTTCAGCTATATACTTCTCATTAGTAAATTTTTCACATTCAACAAATAATTTTATGACTTTTTAGATTTAGATTTTTTATGCAATGTATTTCTTTATATTTAGTAATTTTATAACTTTTAGATTTTCAATTATGTATAAATTTTCACTAGAGTTCTTAAAATGATGTAATATATCACTACCAAAATTTTGCTAAATAATAATATATTTTTTCGTCGTTATTCATCAAAATCCATCGCTAAATACAATTAGTGACAAATAGCATTTAGCAATTAGATTGTTCTAATAAGGACTCGATATTAGACCAAAGCGATCACATTTACTCATTAGATTGTTCTATGACATATTAGTTATGTCGAGACTTAAATTGAATCCGATGTTGAATTGATGAGATGTCGAACGGATGAGTCCGACAATTGGTTCAACATGATGCCACAAACAAAAATAAAAAAATTAGTTTGGCATAGGAAATAAAATTTGAAATTTTGACTAGGATTAATCTTGGCAAAAATAAACATTCTTCGAAGGTAAAACTTAAGGCTAAACTAGACATGGTAGCTTTCTTAGGAAAGCTCGCCTTTGGGTGATTGATATCTTTTCGGAGGTATAACCAACTCCTTGCTTGAGAATACTAAACTAGTACTCATTTTAGCTTTCTAGTTTTTTCAATACTAGGTGGCGACTTTGAAATTAATAAATAACTCATATCCCCAAATAAACAAGATTTCCACCAAATAAATCATAAATATTAAATTTCGAAAGTCTCGAATATCGGGTATTAACAACTTTTAGTATTCTTCTTTAGATGTATTGCTCTCCTAGTTCATCATTAATATTTTTGCATCATTGATATGTTAGAACATCTTTTCCCCTACTAATAACTAGAGCAAGATTGAATAGTTATACATATGTAAAGGGAAAAAATTTAGGAATTGGACAACACATCATTGCCACCTATTACATGTATGTTTAAAGGATTCATACATTATTAACAAATTGTTGATCCAATAGTAAGCGAGTTGGTCCTTAAGCGAATTTTCTACTAATGTACGTAATTCAAATCCTAAAATTACGTTTATTGAAAAAGATTAAATTTTTTCACTTCTATCCCAAATATGATTAGTATTATTTTTAATATGGGATGCGCATATAACCGAGTAAAAAAAGAAAAAAAGATCCATAAATTAATTAATGCAATTGTCCATATAGTATTTGCAGGTGATATTTTGGATGCCTAGACAAACATCTCAACAAAGAGGACTTGAGTTGTCTCACTTTCACACAAGTTGTTTTGAAGACTATACTTGACATGGTACAAGTAGCTTAATAAGAAGTCATTTTTGTATGGGCGTCAAGCAAGGAAACGAACTATGATAATTATAAATAAATAAATAAAGACAATCAAATTAGCATTAAACCCCTCTACAGTGTAGCACTCAGACGCTTGCTATAGGAGAAAAAGAAGAATAGAAAAGGACAAATAATTTTATTTCTAATAAACTTGTGGTTGAATATCGACCTAAGAACATTTCTTTTTCTTTTTCTTTTAAAAAAAAAAAAAACAGAACCAAATCTTCCAAAATATCTCTAATCCCATGAGCCAATTCACATTCGTTTCATTATTATTATTGTTGTTGTATCATTCATTTAAAATTTTGTTATTCAAATTTGAATAAAATTGTCTAATGTAAAACACATATTTGCCACAATTTATTGACGAGATCACAACCAAATCTCAAGTACTTGAAAGGAAAGAATATTGATTATTAAATCATATAAAAGCACTCATATTCTTTGCTGTAATGGTTTATAACTCTATAGAATGAGTTTTGTAACCGCCAAAAGACGCTAATTGAACAATAACTACAAAACGTTTTACTAATATATTATAAACTAAATATATTCTTAAATTTTATGTATGAAAATTTATGGTAATTGTTAAGGAATTAGTACTTTGATTCATTATTAAAGATTGTGATTTTGTAATTTTCAAATAATAATAATAATAATAATTCTACATGCATCAGAGTGCAGATTCAAAATGGACAAAAGCCAATAGGCTAAATGCTGAAGTAAACCACAATTAATTTCGAATTCATGTAATTGATTAATAAATTTTATCACTTTAATGTCTCATATTATTGATAGTTAACACAAAATATAGCGGTCACCTTTTTAACAAAGAAAACGATTAGTTGGTGTAATTTCAATTCTCTTTGACACAATAACTTCTCTTAAAAAATCCTCAATTTCTGAAGTGATAAGAAACACATGGCCCAAAATGGTAGTTCTTGTTTTGGCAGTGGTATCACCGTTTGCTTTGGTGGAAGTAGTGGCTGTGGCAATAGCAATAATGGAGGAGGTGATGAGGGTGGAGGAGGTGGAGGTGGGAATGGGGGTGGAGGTGGAGGTGGAAACAAAAAGCCTGAAGAGTTGCAACCATATCCAGTGAAAGAGCAATTACCCCGTGTCCAGTATTGTATAAACAGCCCACCTCGGCGGCGTAAGTACTATTTTGCTTTCTTTTACCATATATATATATATTCTTCAAATTGCAAATGAAATTCTTGGCAAAGATTACAAAGAAAAAAATTAAACAATTCTTAAACTACATTATTGATAAAGAATAAAAGTATAATACTTATTGTAGAGCAGAAGAAAAGATTTCCATGTGGATGAAGTGAAATCAATCATTTGAATATGGCTTTATGGGAAAAAAATAAATAAATAAAAGAGGAAACGACATGGGATGAGTAAGGGTTAAGTGGCAGCAAATAATTGGTTGTCAAAATAACATAAAAGCAACCGATAACAGCAGCATAATATGCTCACCTAGGATTCTAATCATTTTCTAAAATAGGTCATAACATAATTGACTAGTTAATAACCCAAAACAGTTCTTTCCTGTGGTGAAATCTTGGCCAAGATGCGTAAAAGTCTTAGGGTTCAAGTTCTATTATTATATATTTTGTGAATTCAAATTCTTATATCTCAGGATGCATCATCAAACAATTTAAATTTTTACATTGAGATACTTTTTGAACTCTAAATAACCTTTTTAGCAATGAAATTAATATACATGTATAACAATTAAAAGGTTAATTATCACAAATAATTCATCCTAATTTTAAATAACCATAAAATAAGTTCTTTAGGCCTTTTCATTTTGCAATTTGTTATAATGACTTTATGGTTTATATATCATTGTTACATGCTCTAATTTCTTGTTTCTTTTTTAGAACTACCATCCTTTTTTTTTTTTTTATCATAGATACTATTGTTATTTGTTACTTGTTAATTTATATTACTTTTTTTTTTTTTTTTGTGAGATTGATACTTGCTTCATGTGAAATGATTGTGACATCCATTTTAATATTGTTAAAGAAAAAAAATGACCAATCATACTTTCTTTATGCACAACTGAAGCTCTTGTAATGGGTTTCCAACATTATATTTTATCTCTTGGCATGACTCGTGTTGATACGGAGCATAATCGTTCCTCAAATGGGCGAGTGGTGATGTAAGACTAATTATCATATTTGCTTTATGTTTCTTTGAATTTCTTAATATTTTTTTCTCGTGTTCTTAACGTTAGGAATTAATCTGTTTGTAAATATTATAGGTCGAGAAGGCTAGGGTGATACGGACTTTGCTCCTTATAACGGGATTGAGCACATTTTTTCAAACTTTATTTGGTACCCGCTTACCATCGGTAGTCGTGGGTTCCTATACGTATATGATACCAACTACATCGATTGTTCTTGCTAGCGGACATTCTTCACTATTGGATAACCAAGAGGTAAAGCTTGATTTACACTTCTTCTTTTTTTCTTTTTTTCTTTTTTAAATTTTTTTTTATTTAAGTTGATTGGTTCTTATCTCATTTTGATATATTTTTTAGAGGTTTGTCCAAACAATGAGAGCAATACAAGGTGCCCTAATTATTACCTGGTTGCTTCCAAATGGTAATGGGATTCTTGGGTTTGTGGAGAAATATAGTGAGGTGAGTCATGCTTGGGTTCATTTCTTATATCATAAAAATCGAGTAGCGTTGTTCGATTGAGATTGTTTTTTTTTTTTTTATAAGGTTCCTTAGCCCCATCTCTCGTTGTTCCTATTTAACTTTTGCTGGACTTGGACTTTACTATCTTGGCTTTCCCACGGTATTGAATTCCAAATTCTTTAATTTATACTTTTATTTTGTTTATATCTAATTAGTGTGTCTATATGTGTGCATATGAAGACGAAATTAAGTTCGATAAGCCTATGAATCGAAGAAATAATAATTCTAATGAACTTCCTCTTTTCTAATTATTTTCAATTAGTTGCAAAATGCATTGAAGTTGGACTTCCGGGAATAATAGTTATGGTGCTTTTCTCGCAGGTTAGTAGCACATTTGATTTTATTTTTATTTACTAATTTTTTCCATCATATATTTATTTTTTTTTTTATTTTTTTTTGCCTATAATGAAACCAACATTACCAATTTTAGGATATTTGATGATAAATTGCTACTTCTTTTTTATTATTATTATTTTATTAATTATAGCGCCAAACAATTTTATAACTAGATAATATTTTTGCGGTATCTTCCTCATTATGTGCAATCAAAGAGGCCTATATGTGATCGATTTGCAGTTCTATTCTCAACTACAATCACATGGTTATTTGCACAACTTCGACCACAAGCACGAGTGTATAATAAGAAATCCGAAATCACACAAATGACTTGTCGCACCGATCGTGCTGGCCTTATTAAGTGCATCCCCTTGGTAAGATTATACAGGAAAATTAACTTAACTCATCTACTTTCTTACGACTTTTTTACAAATTAACTTAACCATGTCCAATAATGGTTTGTATTTCACGATCTACGACTTAGATATGCTTCGAAAACAACATTAATTTGGTTTGACACATGATACCTACACTTGGTTGTCAATTTATGTGACTTGTATAAGTGAATTCAATACAAAAATATAATATTATCCATTGTTGATTTTTTTGTGGTGATTGACATTACTTATTTGATCCTTTGCAATTAAATATAGGATATACATTCCTTTTCCATTTCAATGGGGAATCCTAACATTCAAGGCTAATGAAGCTTTTGCAATGATGGTCGCTTCTTTTGTTTCTCTATTCGAGGTGCATTATTTTCTAAGTCGAGCTTGTTTGATCATAAAAGAGAAGCCCTATGAAAGTAATTTGATCCGGTAAACCTTTTTCTTAATTGAATTGTAGTCAACTAGTACATTTTATGCAACGACAAGGTATGGAAGTGCCACTTCGTACCACATTCGGTTGTCGATCGTGGCACTCGGTTGGGCTGGTAGACATTCTTCTCCGATCTCCGATGTTCACTAAAAGTTGTGATTTTGTTGTAACCGATCCTCTTCTTTTTCAACATAACTTATGCAATCTTTTTCAATTTTCGTGGAATTAGGGTTTTGCTAAATGGCATTTTTGGTTGTGTAACTCGGTTTTACTCGCATCGGTGTAATGATTTAAAACTTTATGCTTCCTTATATTTAGTTAATGTGATCTAGTCTCCAATTATTAAATAATTTATATCATTCAACAACTAGTAATCTTGTATATTCCTATATATATAGGTATTTGTTATAGTATAGTTCATCCATTTATGAGAAATTTGACATTAATCTAACCTACCAATTTAAATAGAGAAAATGCGGGTTTATTGGCATTAACAAAAGTTAGGAGCCGAAGAGTGATTCAAATATCGACTTGGATTTATGATTTTCTTCTCTTTATTTGGTAAAGCCTTTATTTTACAATTCATAATGCAAAGTTTTCAATTTCTTGTCGAAAAAACTCTACTAGAAAGTTATTTCTACTTTCTTTTCGGCTTTTAGATTTCTCATGATTGCTAACTTGATGTTCTTAACCGGGAAAATTTGGAGCATTTTTTGCATCTATACCTTTGCCAATCATAACCGCTTTGTATTGTGTTTTATTTGGTTATGTTTGTAAGTAAATCTTCGTATCATTTTATCGGCATACAACATATATATATATATTGTGCATTGTTGATTTTCATCAACGGAATTATAAACGGAATTCAATGATTGTTGTCTTTAAATATTTTATACGACTTACCGTAGGTCTTGGTTTCCTCCAATTTTGTAACTCGAACAGTTTCGAACTAAATTCATATTGGGATTTTCTTTCTTCATTGGCATTTCGGTGCCCCAATATTTTAGAGAGTATTATCAATATGTGCTTGTGCATAGTAGCTATAGATGGGTAACATTCTTCAACTTGTGGTTATATTGATTAGCCAATTTAGTACTTTAGAACTTTTATCTAACATCTTTCTCTTTTACTCACTTGGAATTGCACTTTCATGATATAGTCACTATCATTTTCATGTCTCATGCAACCGTTGCTCGCTTTGGTTGCATTGTTCTTGGATTGCACACTAGCATGTAAAAGTGATGAGACAAAGAAAGACATTGGTTTAAAGTGGTGAGAGAAGTTCGAACTTATACAATTCGGATGTAAGAAATGATGAATTCTATGCACTAACATGCGAGGCTTAATGAGTTATTTCCCACCCTTTAACTTTAACTTTTGATTCCATATTAGATGCTATGTTATCGTTTTACTCGATGAAAAAGTAAAATGAATGAAACAATAACCATTTTGATTTTATGTTATGCTTAATTCTTTTTATGCATTCCGTAAATTTTTTTTTTTTTTACGGTGGGTAATTTTTTCCTTCTTATCACATAGAATGTTTACATGCTTGATAGTAAAAAGAGTAATTCAAAAATAATACACCATAATCCAAAAGAGTTGGTTTGCTAATCATTTAATCAAGTGGTTTCAAATTCGAATTCTTGTATATGCATAAAACTCTTTAGGTAATTATGCTTGTCTTGTATGCCCAACGGAACCAACCTTAACTCCTCTTTGCTTTAGAAATTTATTGGCCTCAATAGTGTCCAATGAAGAGGAACAGAATGTTAAATTATTGGTAAAAGAATGTTCTAATGGGGCATCATTAAGTAAAATGTGAGGATGTTGCAATGACACGCACGGACGGACAAACATTTTTGAATTAGTACATAATTCTAAACCATACCCTTTTATAAATGCTTTTAAAACCTAGAAAATTTGAATGTTTTGCAAAATTATAGGGGAAGGGCCCGGAGCAATATATTATCAGCCTCCAAATATCCCATTAAACAAGTCTTCTTCAATACTTCTAACTTCGGAATCTACTACTTGTATGGCATCAAATTATAGATACTAATCGCCATGCAAAATGTTTTTTAAAATGTCGGGTGTTGTGAAAATTAAAACCATCAAGCATTTGTGAAATCCGATAGAATTAATAACAAGGGCAACAATAGATACACCAAAACTCGTCATAACCAAGCAAACTTGTAAATAGACAAGTCTAAACAACAACGAAGACATTGGCCACAAGCTGAAAATATTTTCAATTAGAAAAGCTATTATTCCCGTTTCTCGGGATATAAATAGTTCCCCAACTCAATAGGGGAAAGGAAAATTTAATAATAAACTACCAGATTAATAAAACAAGTATTAAAATATATGTTGCAATAGAAGTGCTTCTCGAGGGCAAGTTGGAAAATTCATCAAGCCAACTCCAACCATTAATAGATCATAGCATCCCAACGAATATAACACAATAAATGGGAAGCTAGGAAGAATTTGCTAATAGGGAATGATAAGCACTAGCAAATAAGAATAGTAAAACAAGTATGCCCATGAATAATTTAAAAAAAAAATTAATAATAAAAAGCATACATATGAATAATAAACTATGAACTTGAATAAGAGACTAACCAACCAAGTATGGCTAAATGGAATCACGAGAGGTTCGCAAGAGCCCAATCCAACAGTGGAGATGGTCACAACCAGTGCCACAATCTTCATAATATGCTTCATTGGAAGCTATCAAGAATAAAATCTTGTTTCTAAGGCCGATTAAGAAAGAAAATCTCCTTTTTTTTTACTTTTTAACAAATCAAAATAGATAGTTAAACTATAAGACCTAAGTTCTTACTTCATAGTTAATTGTTTCCGTTTCTCATTGTTTTAAGGATGTTAATCAATCTAGAAAATGGGTCATCTTCAATCCTAAGGAGCAAATTCTAGGAATTAATAGGAGCATGTATCACTTAAGATTATAGATCAAAGAAGTGCCAAAAAAACCAAGTGTAGATAATTGGATACATTGTAAAAACCCATCAAACCGGTGGTTGTTGTTAATCGAAGGTATAATATGAATTATTTCATTAATTCCATTAAAATGGAACATAAATCCCTTGCAAAATATCCTAATCATCATCTTAGCGAGACACGACTATAGCCATCATCTAAGGTCGACACAATGTTACAACAAAAACAATAACAACAAAGCATTCATGTACATAAAAAGGGAGTCTTTGGAAGATAAGGATGATATAAAACAAAATATTAGATTAGACTTTTGCCATCGGGAAAGGAGATATCCAATTTTTACTTTATGAATCATGATTGCAAAGAAAATGAAAACAAAGAAGAGAACTGGATGAATTACGAACTCCGAAAAGAGAGATAGAGACAATTTGTAGCAAAACAACGACAAAGAAAAACAGTAGGTCGAGACAAAAGATAGTAGTAGAATGGTTACTAGGGTGGTAAAGAGGGTAGAATACGGTTGGCAACAAGCCCCGTAGGTTGGAAGCTCGTAGGCTATGGCTATGGATCGATAGAAGAGAGAAGAGACAACGACCGTCTAAATTGGGATTGCATATTTGTTTAGTCGGTTGAAAAATAACAAGAGGAGGACACGGTTGTGTTTTCCTTTTAGGGTGATTTTGATGAACCATCACAATTGCCCTTATACTTTTATTAATTCATCAAATTAGATCCTTTAAGACAGACTTTATCAAAAGTAGCCACTATAAAGTATAATTCAATTTAATCCAATTGGGAAAAGGGTCATTCATTTTCTATCTTCTATTTTTGTTTAAAGGGCTTATCCAACACGTTAGTTGCCTCACCATTAGACTTCTACACTAAATTTTGTACTCCATTTCCTTCACCCTTAGTAATTTTAGTATCTTTGAATGAATTACGTATATCAATCAAAATGAAAATTATAAATTTCTCATGGGCTTCCTTTAGGATGAGAGCCACATCCATATCTTCTACATTAGAGTGTTACACTAATATATTTCCAACTTCAACATTAAATTTTTTCTTTTCCTTTTCAATATATGTAGAATATCATCGTTGTCTCGTCGAAGTCCATGGAGTTGAGCTTTAAGTCGTTCAATTTGGGTTATAGAACCTAATGCATGCTTTAAGCCGTTGAATTTGAGCTTTAAGATGAAGTCAACCTTTGCCATGCTTCTCTAATAGTGGATGCACCAAGCAACATGGGTGGGAACAAATTCGGTTAGGGAGGAAATAATCTAACCTCAAGCATAAGATTTTATTTTTCATAAAGATGTGTTTTTTCTTTTTCTTTCGATCATTATAATTCTATACCTAAAACTCCCAAAATTGTATCCCATGATGTTTTGCATATTATTCCAAATGTTTTTAATGATATACGACCTAAATTTAATAACTTTTTTTTCTCGTCAACGAAGAAATGTATCTTGTCCCCGATATTGTTCCTTCATAATCTATTTCACCTATTACATACATCATGCTTTTTCAATCTCATTCATCTTCTCTAACTAATGCTACTACTCAACCAAATCATGATCTTTCTATACTTCGTTCATGTCAAAAGGAGTACTACAACCACTAAACCTCCTAACTATTTGTCGGACTATCAAACAACTTTATCTTCAAAAATTTCTTATGTTTGCTCTTCTACAACATATCCCATGAATCATTATATTTCTATTGCACATTTATCATCATCCCATAAATATTTTGTTACTTGTCTTTTCAATATTGTTGAATCTCATACATATCATCAAGCTTTGCAATCTACTCATTAGCAAGTAACCATAAAAACTAAACTTAATTCTCTTGAGTAAAATTACAATTGGATAGTTGTTTCTTCCTTATGGTCAGTATGTTGTGGGTTATACAAGGTCAAACTTTATGTTGATGGGACTCGTTGACATATAGAAGGCTAGTTTGTAGCCAAAGTGTTTAATCAAAAGACGAGTTTTGACTTCTAGAAGATGTTTAGTTTTATTATCAAACAAAAAATAGTGAAGTTGTTTTTAGCTCTTACAACTTCTCTCAACATTGGCATTTACTTAAGATGGATATCAATAATGTTGTTCTTAATAGAGATTTAGATAAGATAGTGTATATATACCTTTCTTCGAGTTTCCAGTGTCTAAAGGGAACATTATGCATAT